ATCATGGCCTTAACCTAAATACTTTACTGTGTATTTCCTAAGTAAAGAGATAGTCTTTTGCATTACCACAGTACTATTACATTGATACACTTTACCCTCAGTATTCCACTTTGTCAGTTTATTTACTGATATCCTTTATAGAGCTTTGTTTCCCCTCCTATCTCACTAAAGTTACTACCAATGACATTTATTTAAAGACATAAACTCACAGAGGTAGTAGCAAGAACTTCAGTATTTTGGTACCTAGGACAACTCCTAGAACATAGTAGGTTCTCAGTAAACACTTGTTGAAAGGATAAGAGTTGATGGCAGCAGAATGGGCTCTGGGGAGCAGATGGGTGGCAGTGATGGCTGATCAGACCCAGAAGACCGGAGTATTCTCGGAGGTGGCGGGGAAGAGTCTTTACCAAAGGTCCCCCCAGCAAGCTTTTTCTGATTGGCCCAAACTCGGTCACATGCCAACCCCTAGGTAAGGGGTGGTGTGGGATTTTAAGGTGCCTTAGCAAATCACAATTTATCCCTAAGGCTGGACACATTGCTGCCAGAACATAATCAGATTTTGTTAGCAAGAAACAAGGGGAAGTAAGCCTTCTTCAGTAGGTACCACTGTGTGTGCTCCCAGCTATCAGTAGATTTATCTCCTCTGTACCCTTTCTCAGGAGGCCACTGAAGGATATGCTGTGATAAACCAAGAACCTAACATAGGAGGGAAGGGAAGGGGTAAGACATCCGTGCAGCAGGTCCAGCATCGGGACTGTTCAGACGGTAGCCCTTGGCCACAGGTGGCTGTTGAGCACTTGTGATGTTGCTAGTAGTACACCTGAGGAATGGAATTTTTACTTTAAATTCAGTAAAATTAAAACCTGAAGCTGTATGAATACTTCCCCGTTAAATAGAACCTATTATTAAGTAGAAGTTACTAAATAAATGTAGTATTAGACATTTTAATACATAAAATGTTAAAATTAATTTTACATGAAACATGTAAAATACTTTGGTTAATATGCCTACTAGAAAATTTAAAATTATGTATTGACTCACCTCGTACTTCTACTGGACGTCATTGATACAGATGGTGCAGAGAGTCTGGAGAACTCTATGAGGAATCATTCATTCAGCAGATACTTACTAAACACCTGCTCTGTCCAGGCACCATTCTGGGTGCTTGAGGTCTATTCATGGGCAAAATAAACAAAGATTTTTGCCCTTGTAGAGTTAATATTTTTGTAGGGAGAGACAGACAGACCATTTCATGCGAAACTTATGCAGCACTTTAGAGAAAAGTGCAGAGGGAGAAGGGAAAAGGTGCTGCAGGTGAGGGGATGTGAAGGGAGGGACAAGTGGCCGCTTGAAATGAGTTGGTGAAGACAGGCCTCGTTGAGCAGGTGAGACTTGAGCACAGAATTGCTGTCAAGGGGAAAGCGTGCCTGTTCCAGGTTAAGGGAGCAGCTGTTGCAAAGGGCTGGAGTCAGAAGTGTACCTGCAACTTGTCCCGGGAGCTGCAGGGAGGCCGGGGTGTTGGTGGTGGGCCAGGAGCTCAGAGATGGTTGGAGTCCAGGGACCTTGCAGGCCACCGTCAAATTTTGTGTCTTACTCTCAGTGAAATGGGGAGCCATCGCAAGAGTTGGTTAGAGGATGGACATGGCCTGTCTTAGGTTTAAAGGGATCATCTTTATGGCTGTGTTGAGAATACCCTGCACATAGTAAGGCAAGGGTAGAAGCAGGGAGGACAGTTAGAAGGTGATCACAGTGGTTCAGGTTAAGGGATGGTAGTACAGGGGCAGGAGATGGTCATATCTTGGACATAGTTTGAAAACGATCCAGTAAGATTTGCTGATGGATTGGACATTGGATGTGAGATAAAGATTAGAGTGTGGCTCTAGGATTTCTGACCTGAGCAGCTGGAAGAGTGGGGCTGTCACTAGCTGAGCCAGGGAAGACTGAGCATGGAGCAGGTTTTAGGGACGGGTAGATTGGGAGTTTGGATTTGGACATGTTGAGTCTGTTGATCATTTCAGAGCAGAGAGAAGTTGGCAGGTGAATATACAGATCTGTGGTTCAAGGGGAGAGGTCTGGCTGGAGTTAAGTATCTGGTGGTCCTCTGTGTGTAGACGATGTTTAAAACTGTGAGACAGGATGAGATCACTGAGGCCGTGAGTGCGGAGAGAAGAGTGGAGGACCCAGGATTGATGCTGGAGCCTTCCGGCATTGAGAGATCAGGGAGAGGAGGAGGAACCAGCAAGGGGAACTGAAGAGGCACAGTCAGTGCAGGAGAAGGAAGATCTCAGAGCGTGAAGCTTAGATGCCAAGCAGAGAGGAAAGAGTGATCCACTGTGCCTAATGTTGTGAGCTGAGAACTGACGGTTGGATTTAGCACCCTGAAGGTCATCAGCCTTGACAAGGGCACTTGTCAGTAGAGCTGTGAGGTAGAAATTAGCTGGATTGCTGCAAGAGAGAAAGGGAGGAAGAAAAATCAGAAACAGTGAGTAGAGACCACTCTTTCCAGTTTTGCCACAAATAGAGGCAAAGAAAGGGGGAAGTAGCTGTTAGCGGGAGTACAGTCAAGAGGGTTTCTATTTTGTTTGACATGGGACAGAGAAAGGTATGTTTGAAGGGAATGATCCAGGAGAGAGCAAAGAGTTAATAATAGTCGTGGAAGAGAGGGCACTGCTGAAGCCATGTTCTTGAGTAGGTAAGAGGGACTGGAACCTAAGAGTAGAAGAGAAGAGATGGGCTCCATCTGGAAGCACTGACAGATCATCTGCAGCAGCAGGTGGGAGGGCGGAGTACGCGTGGGTGCAGGTGCCGCAGGTGGTTTATGGTGGCTGAGTCGGGCGGAAGTTTGTGTCTCACTGAGGAGGAAATGTTTATTGGCCAAGAGTAAGGATGGAGAAAGGGGGTGTAGGAGTTTGAGGAGAGAAGTGTGTTGTCCAGGAAAGAGAGAGAATAAATGGACTGGGAAACTGTAGTATGATTCCTGGCAACCTTAAAGGCACATCTGGGTAGTAGTTACAAATTCGAAGGGGTGTGGTTGTTTTTCCAGCCGATGGGTACACGCACATGTTAATGGAGAGTTGGGTTTAACCAGTGTTGTGGCTGTGCCAAAGAATTTTGAGCAAATGAGGGAGGGACAAGGGAATTGAAGGTACTGCAGGGGTGTGGCTTTAATAACTGACCGTGAAGTAAATCCTGAGCTGGATGAGGAGGGCAGGGAGCAGTCGGATTGGCGAGGGATGATGTCTTGACAGGGACAGAAATGGGACTGGTTGATTCCTGAACAGTTTGTATGTGGTAAGAAGAAATTCTTTTAGAGAATTGGGGAATAGGTACATGAAAAGTGAAGAAAAGAAAGCAGTGACTAACTTCAGAGAAGGGAAAAAGTTGAATGAGGAGATACCTATTATCAGAGTATACTGTGGATATTTATATAATCATAACCATGTCAACAGCGGTTATTCAACAAAAACTGGCAGTAAGACTACCAGGAAGATGGGAGTTGTGAAAAAGTATGTTGAGAGGAAAGGGGCGTGGCAGGATAACTTCAGAGAACTAGACCTCTGTCTTCTGTTAAAGGGAGTCAGAAGAATCTAGGCAGCAGAAAAAGTATGACTTTGTGTTTTTATCTGTCTGTCTTTCATATACAAATGTGAAAGTAAATACTAGAAGGGGAGGACGTGGTTGGATTTGAAAGTGGTTGCCCCTGGGGTTGTAGGAATCAGAAACAAGGAGGGTGTAGCATGGGAATGTTGTATTTTAATACAAGGTTATGGGGAAGTTTGATTTGTAAATTGCATACATGTATTACATTGATAAAACAAATACTAAATTAAGAAGAAGAGGAATAGTGCTTCTTTTAAGTACTGCTACTGGTAAATAGTCTGGGAATACTCCGTGAACGAGTATTTACGTCCTGAAGCATAAGGTAGCATTGGTTTGGCTGGAGAGTAGTAGGCAAGAGTATTTGAGCCAGGATGAAGAGCGCGAGGAGTAAGACAGATTGGAAAGGGCAAGGCGTTCTTGGGGGTAACTGACGAAGCCCGCTGCCTCGAGAAGAGTGACAAGAGAACAGCACCAGGTGCCACTTGTAGGTCGGACCCGAGTTAGGTAAACACTTGAAGCCAGGTGGTGGGAAGAGATTAGTTCTGGAGCAGGCAAATGATGATCACGTTAGTGCTTAAGGAAGATTGGTTCTGAGCACGTCAGGGTCAGATGTTTCCACGCTGTCCTCGCAGTGGGGTGGTAATTGAGGAAATGGAAGGATGGGAGGTGTGCGAAGACTGGGTGGGGGGAACACTGAGGAGGAGCTGTCTAGGGCTTGGTGAGTGAATGTGTAAGCAAGAGAGACAGAAGTAGGTTAAGATATCCCTTGCATTTTGAGCCTATTTGGGAGAGTTATGGTATCATTTCTAAAATTAATTTTTCAAAAGTAAGACAAGCATTCAATATTTTGTTGAAGGAGAATAAATGAGACAGTCTTGACATAGATGAACAGAAGGAGGTGCTTGAGGTAGTCAGCACCTGCTGGAAATGTGGAACTCGAGCTTGGCAAAGAGACGTGTGTCTGCGTGTGCCCAGTGTGTGTGTGTGTGTGTGTGTGCACGCGCATGTGCACTTGTGTGATCTGCCTGTATGTTGATTTTGAAGTCACAGAAGTGGATGAGATCCTCAAGGAAGGCAGCCCGTAGAAAAGGTGAAAGAGTACAAGGAGCAGAGCAAAGGAGAACACTGAGATGTCGAGGTAGTCGGAAAAAGAAAAATATTCAGGGACAAAGAGAAAAAAAGAAAAAGGAAAGCATCAAAGGAAATTCTCAAGGAGGCAGCATCAGGCAACACTGACTAACAGCTGCAGAGCATTGTGGGAGAGAAATGATTTTTAAAATTAAAAAATTTTATATTATTTTTATTCTAAAAATTTTTTAAAATCTATTCAGTATGGAAGGTATGGATGATTTGGGGAGTTCAGTTGAGTAGAAGAATCTAAAGTGTATCAGAAGTCACATTGATTATGCTTTCAAAGCTCTTCCAGTTGGAAGAAAAGATTGAGAAACCATTAACAGCATGAAAAGACTAGGTTATGCCAAAGTTGGGAGTTTTTTCAGATGTGAGAAAAGTATGTGTGTTTTTGGTCAGAAGAGTTGTGCAGCTGAGCAGGATGAGGGAGAGGAAGAGAGAGGAGGACGTTGTGGGAGCAAGAGAGTGAGATGAAGAAATGAAAGCCATGAAAAGGCGTTATACTCAGAGACAGAAGGAAGTGGAAAACAAGGACAATGTCAAGATAAATATTTACATTTTTTATCTAGGAAGATTGAATGACTAAATGGTCTAAATTTACCAGAAGAGAGGAATGGAGATTATTTCCTTCATAGGAAAGAGGCAGAGTGGTGGTAGACATTTTGAAAGTGACTGTATCAGCTATTGCTGCATAACAAACCACCCCTAAATTTCATGCTAAAACAATAATAAAAGCACTTATTCCTCACAATTCTGTGTGGCTCACAGATCTGGGTGGTTCGTCTGGTCTTTGCTGAGCTCACTCAGGTGACTGCAGTCAGCTGCTGCTCTGGTTGGCTGCTCTGTTATCTTGGCTGGCGTCTGTCCTGTTGGGTGGGGCTGTCTATGAACTAGTCTAAGGTGGCCTCAGCAGGGCAGCCTGGTGTCTCATCCTCCAGACTTGTTCTCAAGGTGGCAGGATCCTAAGAAAGAGAGTACACCGAAGCACATGATATGCCTCCTAAGGCTTGGGCTCAGAGCTAAGCACAATGTCACTTGTGCCCCATTCTGCTGGCCTGAGCATGTCTCAAGGCTGGCTGATATTCTCAGGGTGGAGAAATAGACTCCATCCCTTAATCAAGGGAGGACTTTCAAAGTCCTGTGCAGAAGGAGTAGATTGTAGAGAGAGCTGGGGGTGGGACCATTTTTGTCATCTGTCTACCAGTGGGACAGGCTAGAAGTAGATGTGCTCCACCTGCAGAGGGATTGAGTGTGGTACACGTGCTAAAACTGTGTCTGTTCCATATTTTGTAAAACATATGAGATACAGATCTCAAACTGTTTACATACTGGATTTTAATGTCTTCATTGTTAGTATATTCTCTGTTTTTCCTCTCTCAAAGGTTGGATAACACATTAGAGGAAATTATATTTAAGCTGGTCCCTGGACTACGAGAACGTAAGTTGCTCTTTGGGTTCTTGCAGATTTTTGTGTTTTATGAAACCACCATTTCTACTAAAGAGTTCATGACTGCTTCTATTATCTTTATACTTTTTCTTTTAAATTAGAAGAACTTGAGCGTGAATCTGAATTTTGGAAGAAAAACAAGCCTCAAGAAAATGGACAAGGTGACTTTTTTTTTTTTTACGTTCATATCTGATAGACTGTCTCAAGTTGTTCAGCTTTTTGTAGCTGTGGTGAAGTAATTTTTCTTGAAGCTCAAATTTCTCCTGTACAATATTCATGTACTTTTTTGTTTACATTATGAACCTTTCTCTGATTAAGAATCTTATGTAAAATCATGCGATTTTATGTTAAATGCATGTAAACCTAGAGTCACTCCAGCTGAGGTAATTGGAAATAGAGAAAATTGGACTTTAGGAAGAGAAAAAAGGAGATGAAACAGAAAAGTGACCACTGATTATAGCAGTGTTTGCTGGAAAGCTAAAGGAGACAAAAGTAAGAGACAGCTGTAGCCTGCAGCTAAAAACAGTGAGGGCTTTGCTGGGTTTTTTTATTTTTTATTTTATATGTTTAATAGGAGACGAAATTGGGGTGTAGCTGAGGGCCAGATCAGAGGAGCTTGCTGTGCTCTGATCATCTAGAATGAGCTTTTCAGAGGTGGAGCTCAGACACTTAGGGAAATTTTCCCCAGAGCCTGTGCTAAGTGTCCAGACTTCCTTTTCGAGTCCCAGGAGACTTGGCAATCAGTAAATTTTAATACTGATTTAAGCAAAGTGGCAAACATTACTGGGCAGAGGAAAGGTTTTTAGTATGTATATAATTCACACAAAAGAAAAAAAATACATCATATCTGATTTTAAAAGGAAGTAGGATCCTTTCCCATTGTTACTTAACATGAGATTTATTTCAAGATGGCCTAAATACGATTGCAAATCCTTCAAGGATGTACATATAGTTTTGTATTTTATAGGCTCACTTGTGAGCTCAGTCTTCCAGCCCGGTTTTCCCATAAGATCATAGGATCGTCAATTATTTATCATTTAAATGGCTTTCTCTTTTCATATATAAAGTGGGGATCAGAGTTTTATTAGTTCAACTTACCTGTACAGGGCTGACCTCCTATAGCAGGAGAGGTTTGAGAATAGTTTTGCATGACTGCAATAAGATAGCAAGGGATTATTTTTGATTTGTAACATCGAAATTGGCAAAGAAGCCAAGCCTGGCAAAAGAAATGACTTTAACTAAAGGCTTGTTTTAACCAAGTGTAAATTGCAATTTAGACAGTAGTGCTAAGTAAAAATAAAGGTAAAACTGAATGAATCTTCCAGTTTCTGACTACCTTCTCAAGAGGACAGGGGCCAGGGCTTGTCATCAGAAGCCATGTGGTCAGGTTAGTCCGCAACTCTGTGTGTCTTCTGATTCACTAGTGAGGGACTACAGTCTACTTTGTGTTCTACTCCCTTACCCCATATTTCTCCCTTTTTAAAGTATTTTTTATCATATTTGGTCTTCAGTTTGGGTGGAGAATTTGGGCCTTTTCTTGGAGCTTAAGTTTGGTTCATAAAGGCAATTCCTGTCTATGTGGATTCCATATAAAAAGGCAGAAGAAAGAGCCCACCTGCTCTGTATGATACACTGTTGGGCTTTTACTGCAGTCATTAAAGAGGAACTAAATGGCCATTTTTTTTCCTGGGCTTCTATACTTTAATGCTTGGCTGGCTGATTCTTTCAAGTTTCAGCTTTGAGATGTTTTATCTGGAAATCTTCCCTGAATCTCTGCTTCACCCCAGAGTTTGGGTTTGTTACCTCTGTTATAGTGCCCACATGGTCTGTCTTACCTCTCTCATCAGAGTCCTTATCTTTGGACTTTTCCATCTGTCTGTTTTCTCTACTTGCCTGTATCTCCTTCTATACCCTGACACGATGAGGGTGAGGATGGTAACACTCTAGTTTCAGTATTGTTCCCTCAGGCTTAGCACAATGCATGTCTAACAGAGTTATATGCACTCAGTAAATGAGTCAACAGATACAGTTGCATTATTTGTAGGCTGCTGGTATTTCATAGGTTTAATACATTTGTTTATAATATGAAATATGCTATTCAGATTTATTTGATGGAGTTTTAATATGTTACATAGCTACATACATGTTTAAAAAGTTAATCCATTCTACTCATTATTTCATGAGCTAATTTTATGAATATCTAATAATTTGAAATTTTGAGACCTTAGAGACTATTTTATAGTTTGAAAAGAAGAGGACCTGGTTTTAAATTTGAATATATAGAGAATTTGGAAGTATTTTTATATCCTAAGTGGTCTAATCACTAATAGCAATCATTTTTGTGACCAAGTACATAGCTCATCCTGACTCTTTCATTTGGATCTCCCAGTGAGCCTAGAAATCATAAGCTGTATTAATAAGTCATTGATGGTCTTTAAAAAGTATTTCCAGTGTTAAGTTGGTTGGAACGTTTTAAAGGTATTAACATGTTCAGTTATTTTTCATCAAAATTGCTAACAAATGTTTTTTAAGTTTATTTTTATTTTGATGATTAGTATATTGTTGCTCAATTATAAATATAAAATCAACTTTGAGTTATATCTAACTTAGTCTTATTTAAATTATGCAGATGATACTTCAAAAGTTGACAAACCTAAAGTAGATGAAGAAGGTGATGAAAATCAAGATGATAAAGACTATCACAGAAGTGACCCACAAATTGCTATATGTCTAGATTGTTTACGAAATAATGGACAATCAGGGGACAATGTAGTAAAGGTGAGTGGACAAGGGACCTTTGTATTTTCATAATCACTTTATAGTAAACCTTTGATAATTTCTTAATGAATTTTTCTAATGTTTCAGAATGTTTGCTTTCAAAGTTTTTATTAACATAAACAAAGAGATTGTCATTCTCGGGCAGTCTCTTACCTGCAGATGGCCGGGTAGTTGCTCACTTCAGGCTCCTGATTTCCAACCCTCACAACTGAACTGTCCTGGGTCAATGCCACCACCTAGTGGCCAATGTGGAGAATCATGGCTGTGTTTCTCTTTCTGCCTCCTTTTATACATTTGTTGGGAGTTCATATACAATGTTTTTCCTTTTTTAAGTGTGGTCACCAGCTCAGACTCAATCATTTCATGTTGGTCAGTGTCATCAACTCTTTTATTCATCCTCTTCTCATTTTATCTTTTGTTTCTCTGTTTTTATTTGCAACTCAAAAAGCTATCCGTGTCATGGCCAATACATTTTATGAATAATATAATTAATTGGTTTTTAAGTAAAACTGGATGTCATAAAGTACCTGGGAACTTTTAGAGTCCTTGTAGGCTCCCAGATGTTTCCTGCTGTGTCTGTCTCTAATCCTGGTTTCCAGTCCTGTTTCCCTCTACCTGCTAATTGAACCTTTTTGTAAAGGAGCTCTATACTCACTTCTGTTGATTTTCTTTGGTCTTTAAATGGTGTTTTGTTTTCATTATAAATGTTTACTACTTTAGCTTCTAAATTGGTAAATAGGTTTTTGTCATTTTATCCTAGCAAATATCAGCCATGGAGAATGTTGTTTCTCTTTGTGTTACATGTTTGTATTCAAATACCTATATTCAGTGTCTCTTATTTTCCTCTCCTTCCTGTGTGTGATCTGTAGGCCAGTGGGTTGAATTTTTCACTAATACATTTAATGTCATCTTCCTATTAGAGTTAAAAACAAATAAATTTTCTACTCTGATTAGGTTGTCCCAGCATCTTGCAAAAAGGAATGTATATGAGCATAGTGATTCAATGAATATTTATTCACTGTGTAGATATTAGTCAGTAAAGATGTTCGTAAGTTTTTTCACTCAAGGAACTTTGGTTAGGTCTCATGCATACAGAGTTATAATACAATAAGATTTTTTAGTTAAGAGAGGTTGGTTGGGCAGGACTTGTGATAGAGTGCAGCAATCTTTAGAGAAGCAGCCACTGTCCCTGTTTTATCCTCCAGGCATCTCTATTGTTTTTTTATGCCCTGGTGCAGCAGCCTTTCCTTTTTGTAAGCTTTTTTCCCCTAGAGTTCTTAAATAACTTTACATCTCTCTATTCCCAATCATTTCTGTAATCCCCTTTTGGGGAGGTTCTTCTCAATAGAGATTACGATTATCCTTTAGCTCTCTAATACGGGAGTTATTATCTTGTAGTGAAAATTAAGCCAATAGGAGGGTGGAATATCTTTTCATAAGTAAATGTGAAGTCTACTTCTCTGCAGGATTTCTAGTATGAAAGTTGTAAAGCATAGACTTTTAGAAATCCATCTTAAAAATTAACTGCCCTCTGCCTTGATACTCTGTTTGGCATCTTTGACACCTTCATCCCAGTTGACCTTTTATTCATTCACTGTTTGCTTTATAGACTTTTTTTTCATCCTTGTGCCTTCATTCTTAGAACAGCTTTTATTGCTTACATGACTCATATTCTGCTACCCTAATTCCCAGCTTTCCTCTCTGGCCATTCCTATACTGTCTCCACTGGCTCCACTTCTTCCTGTCTTCTTCTTGATACATGTGAGTATGGCCTACATACCTTGTCCTCCATCCAGTTGTTTCTCTGTATTTATACTAGGAAGGCACCTCCATTTTTTGTGGCTTCAACTATGCAGAGAACTTTTATTTACTTACTTATTTTTACATTTTTTTTTACCAATTTTTTTCTAGTTTTTTTTTTGAGGGGTAGTTTTATTTATTTTCATGGAGGTACTGGGGCTTGAACCCAGGACTTTGTGCATGCTAAGCATGTGCTCTACCACTGAGCTATACCCTCTTCCCTTTGCAAAGAACTTTTAAATCCCCCTTTCTAACCCTGCCATCTCTCCCAGGTTGAGGTATTTTATCTCTAAATACTTATAGAACCCCAGTTGGGGATTTCACTAATAGCTGAAACTTAAGATGTTTAGAGACAAATTCATTGTACTGTACTTTAACCTAACTTTACTCCAGACATGCAGTTTCAGTTATCACTACCATCTTTCAACCAGTCATACAAGTTCAGAATCATAGAGTCATTTTTGACCTTTTATCCTTTCCCTTCAACCAGTCATAAGTCCTGCAAAATTTCTCTCAGTCTAGTGTTGCTCACATACATCTAGAGTTTTTAAAGTAGCCTCTAGTGTTTCCTGTATCCTTAATTTCTTTTATTTTCCATGGCTGAGGCTGCAGCCTAAGTGTGTGCAAGGCAGAGCATGAAGCCCAGAGTCGTGGCCAGTATCAGGGTCAAATAGGAAATATTTTAGGCTCTGTGGGCCATACAGGCTTTCTTGCAACTGCTCAGCTTGTTGTCGCACTGCAGCAGCCAGAGATGGTCGTGAATAAACTGGTGCGCTTGCATTCCAGTAAAACTTTACTTAGGAAAATAGATAGCCAGGCAGATGTGGCTTGAGGGCCATGGTCATAGTTTGCCACTTGCTGGCCTGTGGAATCAAGTCTTAACTCCTTGTGTTAACATTCAAGGCCTTTGAAGATAACCAACCCCTATTTTGATAAGTTTATGTCCCATTATTTCTGTCAGTGAACCCTCCTCTCTCCTCTCAAGACAAATGATAATTGCTTTAAATGTGAATACCAACATATATGTTGGCACCTACATCTGACAAAGGATTGCATCCAGAATAAAGGCTTGTATTGAGAATATTTAAAACCCTTTAAAACTTTGAACAGTCCTTCCCTTTTGTCAAGCCCTCCCTCTTCTCATCACTGTCCTAGACTTCTGTCAAGACCCAAGAGACCTCTGCTCTTTGTGATGTTTTTTCCACCCTAGTTAATCCCTTCTCTGAAATTCTGTCAAACTTGGCATTTACCACTCAATGAGGGTTGTCTGCTGTTAATTATATCAGCACTTACTGTGTTCCTAAAGGTACCAGGCACTGATACTATCTTGTTGTTGTTGTTGTTGTTGTGTGTCTTGTCCTTTAAACTGGATTATACAGCACCTAAAGAGAAAGAAATTATGTCTGTGTTCCTTTGTAACTTCAGCCATCTCATTCCTCTGTAGTAGGATGAGAGTCTCAAATGTGGTGGTAGACCAGTTGCATGTATAGTTTATACAGTATACCTACTGCAATTCAAAAGTCAAAGTCAAGAGCAAGAAGGCAATGAAAATAGAGTAACGACCTCCAAAAATTTGCTCCTTCATAAAAGCAATGAAAAAACTGGCAAAAACTCAGAATCAGCTTTGTCAGAAATCTGATAATTAACCAAAGGCTAAAATCCTTTGCAGAAGCCCATGGAGCATTAAGAGAAAAATGGCTGATTCTTGGGGAGAATAGTGAGCTTTGTGGCATTTTAACTTGTCTTAGTCCCACCCCCTATTCTTAGCTCTGGAATAGCCTTGAAAAAATTACATCCTACTTTTCCACCTCTCAGGCACCAAAGGGACAGAACAAAAATGGATCTTTCTCAAAGCTTAATTGCCAAATAATCATAATTTGGTGGTTCCTGGAATATCCCACTTACAAGGCTGTTTCTGTTAGACCTGACTTAGAGCCTGCCCAGTGGATAAAAGCTTCTCTGTGGGCTAGGGAGAAGAAGGGGGAGGAACACTCATCAAAACTAATTACAGACAAATGTTTTAACTTCATGGCTATAAATAACATTAGGGGCAAACAATAGACTTAACCAAAAACCTTAAAAGGAAAAGCTGAAGAATGAGATGTCTATAGATATCAAAGTCTATAGGGGCTTTGGAAAACTCAAAAATATTCCTGGGAATTTAGAAGGCCAGGCACATGCATAGGACTTTGTATATGCTCAGGAAAGACACTAGTGGGCTGTAAACACTCACCTTTGGCCGAACTTGAGGCTCTGCACAAGTGGGAAGTGAAGACTAAGGCTGAGTTGTCAACAGTCTGGGTAAATGATGGACTCATGCCCCAAAACTCATACAGGTCCCTCAGCAAAGACTGGGAGACTTACTGGTTCCAAGTGTATAAGGAAATTGCTGTTCAGTTGTTAGCTGACCACTAGGTAGAAACTTCAGTGGCCACATACCATAAGGAATACAGACTTTACAGAATTAATTTAGGAAAGTCATTAAACAATGAGAAATTAGAAAAAGCCACAGCAACAAACCCTGAAGAGCAGGCAGAAATTTGATTTCCACTGTTGCCACATTATTTAAAATGTCCAGTTTTCAACAAAATTGTGAGACAAATAGAAACAAGAAAGTATAGCCCATATACAGGAAGAGAAGCAGACAACAGAAGATGTCCCTGAAGACTCCAAGACATTGGACTTGACTAAATAAAGATTTTTAAATCATCCATTTTTGATATATGCAAAGAACTAAAATCATGGTTAAATATCTAAGTGAAAGTACAAGAACAATCTCACCAAATAGAAAATACTAATAAAAAGAAATAATTTTTTAAAATATCCTGGAGTTAAAAAATATAATAACTGAAATGAAAAATGAACTGGAGAGGGTCAACAGCAGATTTGAGTCACAGAAGAACTTAAAAACTTGAAGGTAGATTGAGATTACTCAGTTCGAGGAACAGGAAGAAAAGAAATGAAGATAAATGAGCAGATTCTCAGAGATCTGTAGGACAGCATCCAGCTTACCAACATACACATAATCAAAGTCCCCAAAGGTGAAGACGAGAGAAAGGGGCAGAAGGTATATTTGAAGAAATAATGGCCAAAAACTTACCAAATTTGATGAAAAACATTAAACATCCCAGATGCTCAACAAACTCCAGGTGTGATAAACTTAAAGAAATTCATAGCTAGACTCATCATGATCAAACTAT